TGACTTCGTGGATATTCAAATTATTCAGGGAATCAGAGCACCTGTACACATCAGACCTATGGCAGTGCATCTGCATTGTAAGCAGACGCTCCCTGTTTAATCTCTGGCCTCTCCAGTTAAAAGGATTTCGGGTGATGAGGAAGAACCTATCTCTGCCTGAGATCCTTGACAGTAGATAGTGGATCAAATGGGCAAACCCCCAGCTATAGGGCAAATCCCTACGGTCATGCAAAGCTTCTGGTGGGATCAGCTTCCCTTTGCAGCCCTTCCCCAACTGCTTTCATAAGCTCTGACCATTGGTTGTGGATGCTGGGGCTGGTGGGAGTTGTAGTTCAAGGCGCTGGGAGGGCATCAGAAGGCTGCTTTGTGGTCGTGGAAGTGAATGGCAATGCCTGGACAGGCAGAGTCAAGACAGTCCTTCAGGGGACTGTTGGATCGGGGCAAGTGATTGTTGCAGATACAAGGGGGGAGGGGAGCCACACAGATCATGCACTTCTATCACAGACCTGTCTAAGGAATTCTGACTGTTTTTGACATTTGTACCGGGCAACTTTTTTGAATTATGGTGCTGGAGGAGACTCTTGAGAGTCCCATGGACTGCAAGAAGATCAAACCTCTCCATTCTGAAGGAAATCAGCCCTGGTGCTCACTGGAAGGACAGATCCTGAAGCTGAGGCTCCAATACTTTGGCCACCTCATGAGAAGAGAAGACTCCCTTGAAAAGACCCTGAGAAGGGGGGACGACGGAGGACAAGATGGTTGGATAGTGTTCTCGAAGCTACCAGCATGAGTTTGACCAAACTGCGGGAGGCAGTGGAAGACAGAAGTGCCTGGCGTGGTCCATGGGGTCACAAAGAGTCGGACACAACTAAACGACTAAACAACAACAACCCGGCAACTTGACATGAACAATAAAAACAAAGGGGGTCACGACCTTGACCTAAGTGGGGTTGCAGCTATGCCGTCAGGGCCACGGAAAATGGGAGAGATGGGACAGAAGAGGTGCATTTAGAGTGGCTCATTGACTTGAGACCGAGGACTGAAAAGGCCCCAAAAGATTGTGCAACGGCTCTGAAATCAAGGGTGGGTAGCGTGGGGTGGGGTGGTCTACATCGGCTCGGGGGTCCCTTCGGACTCTGCAATCCACTACAGAGGCGTCTCCAGCAGATCGATCGCCGCTCACCTCAAGAAGACGGCAAAACTGATCCGGTGCCTCGACGGGCTGCCGGCGGGAAGCCTGTGCCCGAGGCGGCGGCGCGCAGACGAGGCGCCGAACCGTCGCCTGGGGCCCGTCCGGCGACCTACCTGGGGGCGCGGGGTTGCGCGGCGCGCCTTTGCGCAGCGTTTTGCTCGGCATCATCTCCGGCGCAGCGAGATCCAGCGGGAGGCTTTTGTGCGACGGGCCTTCGGAGCAGCGCCGGGAGTCGACGGGGCGGACGATGCTCTCGGCTCGCTCTCTCCCGCGTTCTGCCAGCTTCTCGTCCCGGCGCGCCCAGTCAAAGAGAAGGTGCCGGGGGTTTCCCCGGTGACGTGATCGCGAAGCCCCGCCCCCTTCGACGAGGCTTTCCTCGGGGAGCCAATCAGAGGCCGGGATGCCCGGGCATGCGGGGGCAAGTTGGAGGAGGGGGAGGGGGCAGCGGAGGCGGGAGGGGGCTGGGCGTGTTGGAGCCCGTCTTGGGGACCAGAGGGGGCGGCACCACCGAAGGGCTGGCAGATCGGGGTGGGGTGATCGGGGCGGGCAGTCGGCGGCCAACGGAATTCCTCCTGCCGGCTGCAAAAAGCTGTTTTTTTTAACTCGGGTGCGGAAGTGTAAATGTGCGGTTTATTTTAGTAAAATAAACGAGGTCGGTTTCGTTTCATCACTAGGGAAAGGAAACCACACGCTGACAATTATGAACGATGCTGCTCTCCCCATTTTCTCACGCATTTTTGCGCAAATGTTTAATTCTGACCATTTAGTGTTGGCAACTTTTAAACACACACAAACATTTTTTTCCCCTTTATAGAAGGAACTCCGAATGGCTTAATCTGCGCATTCAGTAGGGAGTAGTCAGTCAGTTTTATTGCACATAGCCAAAGGCTGCCGCAATGTACACAGAATCATTCAACAATTAAAAGAAAATATACTGGATTGAGCCAAAAAACTTAAAACATTTATATAGGGAGTAACTCGCGCACACAGCTTGAGACAGCCTATCTCTGGTACTAGGGCGGATGTAATCGAAGCTTAAATTCCATTTCTTTCTCCTCCTTGATTATCGTGTCTGCAAATATTTGGCAAAAGGAAATCCACTGCTCTTTTACTTTTCTTTTTGAGGTGTGTGTGTGGCAGTTTCCATGTGCTCACTTCTCCTTAAATCCATCATGTTCCCTTCAAAAGGCTCATCCCTCCTGCTCTTCATGTGCATGTAGTGTTCAAAGACAACAGCCAGACCGGAAACAGAAGAGACCCATCTTGCTAAGGGTCTGGTCTCATAGTTATAACGCAAGTGGTTAGGTAAGGTAAAGGTAAAGGTACCCCTGCCCGTACGGGCCAGTCTTGTCAGACTCTAGGGTTGTGCGCTCATCTCACTCTATAGGCCAGGAGCCGGCGCCGTCCGCAGACACTTCCGGGTCACATGGCCAGTGTGACATTGCTGCTCTGGCGAGCCAGCACCAGCGCAGCACACGGAACGCCGTTTACCTTCCTGCTATAAAGCGGTACCTATTTATCTACTTGCACTTTAAGCGTGCTTTCGAACTGCTAGGTGGGCAGGAGCTGGGACCGAAAGACGGGAGCTCACCCCGCCGCGGGGATTCGAACCGCCAACCATCCAATCGGCAAGTCCTAGTGTTATGTACTGAGTTGAATAGGATCCAAACTGCAGCAGTCTGATTGGTCCTAGAACAATAGGATCCAAAAGGCAGCAGTCTGATTGGTCCTAGAACAATAGGATTCAGAATGCAGCAGTCTGATTGGTCCTAGAACAATGCAGCAGTATGATTGGTTGGCAGGAACCACCCAATCATGCTCCAGATAGAAGTGAATCCACAACCTGATTGGCTTACAGTAGAATTCTGGAATTAGCCAATCATGTGCAGCCCATTGTGTAAATAATGTATATAAAGCAGATACTCTGAGGGGACATTCATTCATTCCTCCTCACCACTATGAGCTGAATAAAGAGCATGAAATCACTTTGCGACTCTGAGTATATTTTACCCACAGCGCCACCCGCGTCCCAACGCAAGCGGTTAGAAAATCTTTAATAAAGATACATTAAAAAAAGAAGAGGAACACAGACAATCGCACAGCAGCAAAATCTGGGTGAAAGGGCATGTTTGTGTCTTGTGGGAACTGAATCCAGCCTCTTTGCTCTCTCCTACCCATCACCTTTCTCGCACTTTTGGAGTGCTATGAACAGGCAGCATCCTGTAAGCAGAGACTGCTGGATCAGGCCAGTTTGGCATCCTGTTCTCACGGTGGCCAACAAGCTGCCTATGGGAAACCCTTAAGCACAGCTCCAGCTCAATCACACTCTCCCCTCCTGTGGTTCCAGAAACTGGTATACAGAAACTCTGGATGCAAACAGGATCCATTTTGAAGCCCCGTTTGCATCCTGAAGCAAACGCAACCCGCATCTGCGCGTGACGTCATTTTGAGCGTCTGTGCATGCGCGAGTGGCAAAACCCACAAGTAACACGTTCTGTTACTTCCAGGTCGCCATGGAGCACAACCCGAAAACGCTCAACCCGAAGCTACTTTAACCCGAGGTATGACTGTACAGTGATACCTTGGTTTACTTAATCTGTTCCGGAATTCCGTTCTTAAACCAAAGCGTTCTTAAACCAAGGTGAGCTTTCCCATAGCAGCAGGGAACTCAATTTACAAATGGAACACAAACAGGAAGCAAAACATGTTCTTATTCCAAGGCAAAGTTCAGAAACCAAAACACCTACTTCTGGGTTTGCAGTGCTCTTATTCCAAGTTGTTCATGAACTAAGCTGTTCCTAAACCAAGGTACCACTGTATTACTGTCTCCAGCTGCAAAGGCAGAGACAGTCTTGTCCTCTATGAATTTCTCTAATCTTTTAAAGCCATCTGAGTTGGGGACCATCACCGTCTTGTGTTCCATAAGTGGATAAGTACTTTCTTTTATCTGTCTTGAATCGTCCAGCATTTAGCTTCATCAGATGCCCATGAGTTTTAATGATACGAGAGGGAGAAAAGCTTTTCTCTAGCCATTTTCTGCACTTTTCTTTTAAATATAGTTTTTATTGTATGGTTTCATTCTGTAAACCACTTTGATTTTTTTAAAATGACACAGTAGTATATAAATGTGGTTTTTATATACATAAAAAGAAATAAAATATTACCTTTAACAATACGTTCCACCAGTTTCCCCAAGACAGACATTAATCTACTAGCCTGTAATTTCCAGGATCCTTTTTAAAAAGATGGTGTCACATGAGCTGCTTCCCAGTCCTCAGGTATGGAGACTGATCTGAAGGACATTCCATATTTTTAGTAGCAGATCATCAGTTTCACAGTCGAGTTCTTTGAGAACCCAGGTGCCTTCCAGATCAGGCGATTAAGCCTAGAACTTCATCTCTCATCACCACTAAGTCCCTCAGACGCTCTTCCTGTAAATGTTGCTGTGGGGTCTGCCCTATATCTTCTGTTGTAAAGTCAGAGGCCAAGAATTCATTCAACTGCTCTGCAATCTCATTCTCCCACTTTAGCACACCTTTAACTCCCTTGGCACCCAAAGTTCCAAATGTTGTTGTTGAAGAAGAAGAGTTTGGATTTGATATCCCATTTTATCACTACCCTAAGGAGTCTCAAAGCGGCTAACAATCTCCTTTCCCTTCCTCCCCCACAACAAACACTCGTGTGAGGTGAGTGAGGCTGAGAGACTTCAGAGAAGTGTGACTAGCCCAAGGTCACCCAGCAGCTGCATTTGGAGGAGCGGAGACGTGAACCCGGTTCACCAGATTACGAGTCCATTGCTCCTAACCACTACACCACACTGGCTCTCCCACATGTTCTTAGCAATGTGCATAGTTCCACACTCTATATAATAATATATAGTGATATGTATATAAATGCAGGTCTGTGTATATGTGCATCCTAACTGACTCCGCTCAAAGGTACATTTCAGGTACAGAGATGGAGGAGGGAGGAGTTATATAGGTTCACCCGGGCTCAGCCAGGAACACGTAAAAACACAAAGAATATTTTTCAACATATGTTGAATGCTATTTCTACACCCAGATTTCTCAATTGTTTCTGATAGAAACACTTTTCTACAAGAGGGGGCGGGGGTGCTTTTAAAAGAACTGGGAAGCTCATTGCTAGAGAAACCAAAGAGTGAGACATGTACGAAGGAAGACAAAAAAAAAAAAAAAAAAAAGAGAGAGAGAGAGAAAAGCTTCAAAATGAACTGGAAAGTCCCTTCTCCATTGCCTGGAGAAGGGACTTTCAGGGCCATTTTGAAGCTGCTGTTTGGCTCTTCTCTTGGGCTTGTGTGATGGTAAAGAAGCTGAATTAACTCTCTGCTTCTGTCTTCATTGCAGAAGATGTAGAGTGGGTTCCTGTACCTGAGCTGACTTTCTCCAGAAGGGAATCTGAGGAAGAGAGACAAATAGTGATGACAAGAGCCATTCTAAACCTTATTTTTAATAAGCACAATTCAAAGTGTTGGTGCTGACCTTTAAAGCCCTAAACGGGCTCGGTCCAGTATACCTGAAGGAGCGTCTCCACCCCCATCCTTCTGCCCAGACACTGAGGTCCGGTGCCAAGGGCCTTCTGGCGGTTCCCTCCCTGTGAGAAGCCAAGTTACAGGGAACCAGGCAGAGGGCCTTCTCGGTAGTGGCACCCGCCCTGTGGAACTCCCTCCCACCAGATGCCAAAGAGAAAAACAACCACCAGACTTTTAGAAGACATCTGAAGGCAGCCTTGTTTAGGGAAGCTTTTAATGTTTTATAGGTTATTGTATTTTAATATTCTGTTGGAATATTTAATATTCTGTTGGAAACCCAGCCAGATGGACGGGGTATAAATAAATTATTATTATTATTATTATTATTATTATTATTGACAAAATGAACACAAACAAATGACTGTCCTGATGGGATCCACCCATTAAAGAACTCAAATGTGAAATTGCTGATTTGCTAACAAAGATATGTAACTTGCTCCATACTGGAGGACCAATGCTTTTCCAAGAGCCATCTGGTTGATCCCTGTGAGAACTGGATGTTGGACCAGATGATTCAGCAGATTCTTCTTACGTTCTTATGACTGAAAAGTGGCCAGTGGAGCAACATTTTTAAAAACGGGAGTCAAGAAATTATGATCCAGTTAGTTTAACGAATGTTCCAGGAAAGCTAGGGTAAAGCTTTATTAAATACAGTGGTACCTCGGGTTACATACGCTTCAGGTTACAGACTCTGCTAACCCAGAAATAGTGCTTCAGGTTAAGAACTTTGCTTCAGGATGAGAACAGAAATTGTGCTCCAGTGGCGTGGCAGCAGCAGGAGGCCCCATTAGCTAAAGTGGTGCTCCAGGTTAAGAACAGTTTCAAGTTAAGAATGGACCTCCGGAACGAATTAAGTAATTAACCCGAGGTACCACTGTATAGGATCACCAAGCATCTAGAAGAACAAGCCTCGCTGAAGAAGAACCAGCATGGCTTCTGCAAGGATAAGCCCTGTCTAAACATTTTAGAGATCTTTGGAACTGTCAGTAAGCATAAGGATGTGGGTAAATGCTGTGTATGTAGACTTCCCCAAAAAAGTTTAAAACCACACAGCATCTAGCACAGCTACAACAGACAGGAAATACAGTGGTACCTCGGGTTACAAATGCTTCAAGTTACATTTTTTTGGGTTACAAACAATTGTAACCCGGAAGTAAGTTTTTCGAGCTCTCGGAGGCCTCGCCGCTGCCTGGAGCCAAGCCCGGACATCCGCGGGGCCTACGGAGGATCCGCAATCGGCCTCCAGCCGTGGGAGCTCACTGAGGCCCCTGCAAATGCCGGGAGCCAAGCCGATTGTGATTGTGGAAGAGGACCCTGAGTCCCCATCCAAACATCAGCGCAGGTAAGAAGAAAATCACATTTTCATTTTGTACTGTTTTATTGATTTCATTTTATGGATCAATGGCCCCGTTAGATAGTAAAATTCATGTAAAATTGCTGTTTTAGGGGTCACTTTTCATAGTCTGGTTCCTGTTTTGGTGTGTTTCATTTGTTAATTGAGCTGCTAATCAGAGGCTTCCTGTTGAGTCGGCCAGCTCTTGAGTCCCGGGCACCCACGCAACACAGAAGTTAGATTTGGAGGTTTTGGTTTTGCTATTTTTTGCGTTTTGATTTGTGTGGCTTTTTTGGTTTTTTGACTGTGGCTTGTTCTTCATTTTATGGGACTGACTTGTGACTTTGCTTTTGTGACTGTGGCTTGTGACTTCATTTTTGTGGCTTCTTTTTGTGACTGTGTGGAACCCAGTTCAGACGGCAGAAACTGACTATCCAAACTGACTATCTAAACTGACTATCATAAGTGCACATAAGAAAAAAAATAATGTTAATTTTTTTCATCTAAAAAAAAGAAAGAAAAAAAATTAACATTATTTTTTTCTTATGTGCACTTATGATGGTCAGTTTAGATAGTCAATTTGGATAACTAAACTGACTATTATAAGTGCACATAAGAAAAAAATAAATGTTTGTTTTTTATTTTTTATTTTTTTCATCTAAAATACTGTCTTTTTTTTATAGTACAGTACATTGATTATTGCCTTCATTTGGAAATGAAATGAATAAGAAAGAATGGAAGTTATTTTTATACGCAGTAACGGCAGCAAGAATACTAATGGCCCAAAAATGGAAACAAGGATTACCTACGATTGAAGAATGGAGAATGAAATTAATGGAATACGCAGAACTTGATAAATTAACAGGAAGGATCCGGAATCGACGAGAGCAGAGATTCACTGAAGACTGAAACATATATTTTTTAAAAAAAGATTATTGCCTTCATTTTATCACTGGTCTCATTAGACAGTAAAATTTGTGTTAAATTGCTGTTTTAGGGGGTGTTTTTCATCATCTGGAACGGATCAATTCACTTTCCATTACTTTCAATGGGAAAGTCTGCTTCAGGTTAAGAACGCTTCATGTTAAGAATGGACTTCCGGAACCATTTAAGTACTTAACCTGAGGTACCACTGTATAGATATAATTAAGTGGTCTGCCAAGACCTCAGCAATTTTCAGGTGGTCCACTGCCTGCCTCCACTTTTGTAATGGCTTTAAAAGAGATCCAGACCATTCTAGATATGATAAGGTTATCATTGGTTACTAGCAATGATGGCTATATTATACCTCTGTTATCAAATGCCTTGGTATGCCTCAGCATATCAGTTGGTGGGAATCACGAGCAGAGAGAGGCTTGTTGCACAGAGGTCCTTCCAACAGATATCTGGTTGGCCACTGTGAAAACAGGATTCTGACCTATACATTGGCCTGATCCAGCTGGGCTCTATTTAGGTTCCTATGTTCATTTCAGTGGTTCATTTCAGGGGCCATGAAGCCCACAACCCCACCTTCTCCTTAAGGCAGAAGTGGCCTTCTCAAATACTATAATTTCCTGTGCATGAAAATCCACCTCTTACTATCAAAGCTGTGAGGTATGCATGACCCCAGGTTGCCCTACGTCCAGAATTTCCCGGACGTATCTGGAATACTGCATGGCAACCATGCAGTCTTGCATGTCGGCAGTGTTGTTTTGCCTGTTGTCTTTGTCCATGGACAAACCTAGAAAGCATCCTAAAAAGCAGAGACATCACCTTGCCAACAAAGGTCCGTATAATTAAAGATATGGTTTTCCCAGTAGTGATGTATGGAAGTGAGAGATGGACCATAAAGAAGGCTGATCGCTGAAGAATTGATGCTTTTGAATTATGGTGCTGGAGGAGACTCTTGAGAGTCCCATGGACTGCAAGAAGATCAAACCTATCCATTCTGAAGGAAATCAGCCCTGAGTGCTCACTGGAAGGACAGATCCTGAAACTGAGGCTCCAATACTTTGGCCACCTCATGAGAAGAGAAGACTCCCTGGAAAAGACCCTGATGTTGGGAAAGATGGAGGGCACGAGGAGAAGGGGACGACAGAGGACGAGATGGTTGTACAGTGTTCTCGAAGCTACTAACATGAGTTTGACCAACTGCGGGAGGGAGTGGAAGACAGGAGTGCCTGGCGTGTTCTGGTCCATGGGGTCACGAAGAGTCGCACACGACTAAACAACTAAACAACAACAACAGTGTTGTTTTGGGTGATCTCCTTTAAAAATAGCTCAAAAACCTCCATTTTTCTTTGCAAACGTGCCAGAAAAAGCTCAGCAACAGTTTGGATTTTCACTGTTTGAAATATGGGCAACCCTACCATCACTGCCTGCTTTTCGATGAGCTGTGAAGTAAATGTAGCTTCTCAGGCTTTTCTGAAATACCAATTTTCTTGAGGATTTGGTCACTACCACTGCTTCCCTCCACTTTTATTTGTTTCCAAAAAAACTGAATAAGCACAAAGCTAAAAAGTAAGAGTAGAAAGGTTTTATCTCGTTATATAGTTAAGTAACGGAGCGTGGCAAGGTTGTCAAAATATCTTAATCTGTGTCTTTATCTTAGAGGCTTGCATCATAAGTACTGATTGTTTTGATTCAGCACCTGAAGGCAATTAGGGAACAATGACTGAGCAATCAAAGAGAGGGGGCGGGTCTTCCATCCACTTCTCTTCATCATCCAATCAGAAGTTACTAGGACAGGCATTCGTTTTTCTCCCAGGCTCTAAGGATATGTCTCACTGACATGTCAAGTCAGGAGCGATGTTGTTTTGCGTGTTCAATAAACATTGAACATTCTTTTAAAATAACTTTAATGGCTTCTTCTCTTCTTCCTCCTCCTCTTTTTGCTATATTATTCCTGTCTGTGGTTGCTCACCTGTTTGTGAGCTGGTCTTTACTTATTTATTTGTGTGGGAAGGCAGGCATGGTGCCGGTAAATAAGTAAACACTATGCTGAATTAATTGAAATTTCTGCAGAAATTGTGTAAAGGGAGTCTGAATTACACGGCAAGGAAAATCAAAACCCCTTGATCTGTATAAATTATGGAAATTGCATAAGGGTCTTTTAAACTTCCAAATAATTTAATCTGCATTTTACATAATGCATGCTGGTTTTGCTATTCAAGAAAACAGGTGTCCATGCAGAGTATAGAAGACACATCTGGCCACTAGAAATCCTGCTCACCTCCTCCTCCTCTGGCTTCTATGATTTCACAAGGCATGTGCACTTTTAGACGTCATACCCATAAGAGCTAGAAACCTAGGTGGGTTGCTGAAATCCTGAGACTGCATAGACACAGTTATCTAGCAGTACGTCTCATGAAGCCAGTGGCAAAGGCAAATTTAGGGGAGTACAACCAGTTTGGTCGCACCTGATGCCTAGCTTCTGGGACACCGCGATAGGCACCGCCACTATGAAGTCAAACAGAAGGCAAAAGGTGCAGGGGCACCAGATTTTGATGCCGCACAGGGTGCCACTGAAATTTGAGACCTCAAGGAATGCCCCTGACAGTGGGCCCTACTTTTGAGTAGACGTACATAGGCTTGAATACGTTAAACCTGCATCCAGGGTCACACATCCCACGCATTTCTTCTGCTCTCTCAAAATTGTGGCATATGTAGAACACTCCCCATAGGCTGCCTTCCGAAGATGCTTACAAGTGTTTGTTTCCCTGCCCCCAACTGCACCCTGCAGCAGGGGCATAGCATAGAGGGGGCCTGCTGGGCAATGACCCCTGGCATATTTTGCTGGGGGGGGGCACTGCTCGTGCTGCCGTGCCAGCCCTGCGCTGCTTTGTGAGGCTGAGAGCTGATCTGAATGATTCACTGGGCAAATCGTAGAGATCAGATCCTAGCACTGCAAGTGGCTCAGGGCTGGCAGGGTGGTGTGAGAAGGATACGACAGCCATGTGCCAAGGCTGGGATCAGAGCCGTCTTTCCTATTGGGCTTACTGCCTCATTGCGCCAGGGCGCTGGCCTCTCAGGGGCGCCACAGCGAGTGGGGGAGCTGCGCGGCTTTGCCGGCGGCCTCCCCTTTCTTTTCTTTTTTCCTTTCTTCTTAAATTTTTATTGATACAGCAAGAAAAAAGAAAAAAAAACACAAATACCAAATTACACACAGGAATAACCATAGACACATAATTTTCTTAACAAACAATAAAACATATATTGGTCTTAACACTAAAGACCCAACCTCCCGTCTATTCCATATTTCGATTTCATATTACGTATTGCCAATACACACTTTTATCGTAATTAAACTTTTTCTTAATATATCTAATTTCTATTATCTACCTAGCAACTATTACTGAAGTTCCTTGAATGCTGCAACAGAATTTAAACTACCATATTTATTTTTCAAATATTCTTTGAAAACCTCCTGTTTTGAAACAAATTCCTGTTTTGATTTATTCTTCATTTTTTCTGAGAGACCGTCTAATTCGGCATTTTCTGTCAGCTTTTGTCAGCAATCTTGTACAGAGAGAATTTCAGTACTCTTCCATTTTGCCGCGATCAGAACTCTTGCCGCGGCAGCCGCATATAAAAAGATACCCTTCCTCTTTTGCGGAATATCCAAATCTGTTATTTCCAGGAGGTATGCCGGCGGCCTCCCCTTTCCCTGCATGCGCGCCAGCTGTGCCCCGTCAACCATATGGCTGGCAGGCATGCAGCTTGCCCCCCAAGCCTCCGCAGGAGGAGAGCGACCCCCGCAGAGGCTTAGGATGGAAGCTGAGCCCCCCAACTATATGGCTGGTGGGCGTGCAGCTTGCCCCCCAAGCCTCTGCAGGAGGACAGCAATCCCCACAGAGGCTTGGGAAAAGGTCGACAATTCTGGGAAAGGGAGCCTGAGGGATCTTTGCACCACGGCGCTGGATATGCTTAAGACAGCCCTGGCTGGGATCGAAGGGCGCATGGGTGCTACGTCCTTCTAACGCTGCCCTGCCAGCCTTACAAAGTGGCTCAGGGATGGCAGTGTCGACAGCAGAGCCTGGACTGGCGCACCGGGCTCTGTTCACCCTCTGAACTTCACCCTCTGGCGCAAACCCTCATGCACACCGGGTACCAGCAAACCACTCTGTGCTGCAGCACCCACCATTTCATATGGAGAGGGGAGGAGGGAGGGCTGCCTTGATTCAGAGCTCCCCCCTCCCGCCCCCACATAACCAGCACCGCTCAAGTCTGATAACAGACTTGGAATGAAATCATTTATATGCGCAGCTTTCCATTAGCAGCCAGCGAAACCTATTAGGCAACCTTCGCTCTGCTTATGTGCAGCAGGATAGCCATATAAGGGGGAGAAAAGGATAATCTTTTTGGCTCGGTGCCAGGGGATTTCACATCTCCCACCCAGCCAATGCTTGGACAAAGGATGACGTCTGATCATTTTCAAGACTGTAAAATGCTATGCAAGCAATTGTTGAGAAAGATCCCTATAGATGATTGTAATAAAACTGTTCTGCTTGTAAAACATTGCACGCATTCTTTCCCCTCCCAAGGCACAACCAAGAAAACGAGTTTATCTGGTTCAACTTTTTTCATCACAGACACAGACATACACAGTGACACACACACACCTCTGAAATTTGCAAGTCATATTGAGAACCAAAGCAAACCACAACCAGCAGCTAGTTTTCTTGGTTATTTGAGAAGTTGAACCTCGACTTCCCCCATCCCTTGAAGTGACCTGCCACGAGTTCTATTGCCACAAATGTCGATTTTGCCACACACTTTTTGCTTCTTTATGGCTGATCAGTCTCCTTCAGAGGGCTGGATCTGGGCCAGGGGAGGCCCAGCTGCTGACTTTGTGAATCAAAGGGATCTGAGAGGCAGGGCAACAGAAAACCGGCTTGCCTCATTTTTAATGCATAATTTCCACATCCCAAAACGGTACACAAACCGACACACAGCTGCCCTTTGAAATTTGCACTTCTCTGAATTTTGCAATGCAGTTCTTGAACAACAACAACAAAAGTGTACAAGAAAGCGTATTTTTAGCAAACAAAGAATACAGAACCACTTTAGAGCAAGGAAAACTGCTTGCAAAAATGTGTATATTCAAGAAAACTACAGGGAAAAAACCAGATATATCAGGAGAAATGTACACTACGATGCTGATAATTCTTCATGAGAACTTTAAAAAATGTGTAAGCTGATCAGACATTTAGTGAACTGGTGTGAAAGCTGGAAAAAGTGGGACAGAAACTGACAGATTTCTCTGTCCCTAGTCAATGGTACTCCTGACCTGCCCCAGCAGTGCATGACACAATAAACTAAGTGTCAGGGGCTCAGGAGCAGAGGCACAGGGGAGAGAGGAAATGGAGAGCGAAGGGGAAGGATCTGAAGGCAGCGTAGGGGAGTATGACAGTGACCCGAGAGATTCCATGAGCTTCTCCAGCGAATCAGAAGATTCCCAGAAGGGGGCGCCGATGGCCAGGGCAAGGGGGGTCCCAGGGGGGACGCACCAGAAGCAAGGGGCCAGCGGGGACTCCCAAAGCAGCAGCGGGAGATCAGGACCAGCTTCCCCACCAGAGTGTAGTGGGGGGGAAGAGTCCCATGTGTCAGGGCCAGCGTCTCCTCCAGCAGGGAGAGAAGATGAGTCAGGGCTGACCACGCCTCTATCGGAGAGTGGGGGAACGGAGGGGAGGTCAGGTCCAGCTAGCCTCCCCGAAGGGGGAAGCAGTGACAGGAGCAGTGTAACAGTCAGGAGGAAAGTGGCCGGCTGGGCGCGCGCGCCAAGTTCAAATGTACAGGCGCGCGGGACAGCAGAAAACCCGGATTGGGAACCAGGTCCTAAAGCCCGCCGGAGGCAGGGGGAAGACTCAGGAGACTCAGCGTCAGAAGAGTCTAGGAAGAGCAAGACCCCAGCGGACAGGCGGAACCAGAGGAGGAAAGAGCAAAGGAAGAGGTGGAGCAAGGCTAGAGTCTTAAACTGGTGTCTGGGGGGAGGAGATTCAGACGGAGCTTCGGCGGTCTAGAGTTTGAGACGTGGAGCTGCGCGCCACGGCTGTGAAAGCGAAACTGAACTTCAATAAAGACTTTTGTATATAACAACGAAGTGGCGTTGGTCCTTTGTGAGCTGGGACCTCGGGCAGCTCTGACACTAAGGATAATCAGATCTTTCCAATCCTAATAATAATAATAATAATAATAATAATAATAATAATAATAATTTATTTGTACCCCACCATCCCTGGCAAAGGCCGGGCTCAGAGCAGCTAACATCATAAAAACAACACAATATGCACAAAATCAGACATCAATTAATTAAAATACATCTTAAAATTGATTCAGATAAGTTAAAATCTGGGCAGGTGATAATTAACAGGTTGGAATTGAGAGTGGTTAATACATGCCAGGACCAACTGTTTCCACTGATCATACAAGGACCTGTGAGCAGGTTGGGGGCCTTCTTTGGGCTTGTTTTATACAAAGGAAAGTAAGTCAAACTGCATCCTGCCCAAAGGCCTGGTGGAACAGCTCCGTCTTGCAGGCCCTGCGGAAATATGTCAAATCCCGCAGGGCCCTGGTCTCTTGTGGGAGAGCGTTCCACCAGGCCGGAGCCACAGCCGAAAAGGCCCTGGCTCTAGTCGAGGCCAATCTAATTTCCCTGGGGCCCGGGATCTTCAAGGTGTTGTTGTTAGCAGACCATAAGGTCCTCTGTGGGGTATACCAGAAGAGGCGGTCCCATAGGTACAAGGGTCCTAGGCCATATAGGGCTTTAAAGGTTAAAACCAGCACCTTAAACCTGATCCTATACTCCACCGGGAGCCAGTGCAGCTGGTATAGCACTGGGTGAATGTGCTCCCGTGGCGAGGACCCCGTAAGGTGTCTCGCCGCAGCATTCTGCACCTGCTGGAATTTCTGGGTCAGTTTCAAGGGCAGCCCCATGCAGAGTGACCCAATATCCCTTGGATTCAGCTCTCTTTGTCTTCCAGCAGGAATTCAGGAAACTGGGAGGCTGATAACAGTTTATGCATACATGCCCTCACACTGTTAACGAAAAATAAACCTGTTCCTTTCTTTAGGAAAACATTTGTGATTTGTCAAAAAGCATTCCTGCCGGAACATAATTGTGATTGTGGGAGGAGGGGGAAAAGAGTCAAAATCTTGTGCATCTCTATTTAGAATGGGGCACTGTGGAAAGACTCTTTTGTCTCATTTTAAACAGCTGTCAAAAACAGCTATTTCTATTACTGCTCCAGCTTGTCCGTCTTTTGTTTGCATGTTAATTCAACAATGTTTCCCTTAATTGCTGACACTTGGTGTTTTAAATACTTTCACAAAAATAACAATATTCCTGCTATTACAGAGATATGCACAGAGCCCTATTTATACATTGCAGTGCACACACATACTGTTATTGGTTCAGAGAGACTTGAAGTAAGCAGAACTAAAAACAACCTCTATCCAGCTATCTATGGATCTGTTGGACACATTTTTTGAACAAGGTGATTGTGTGCTGGTGACTCAGTTAGCAAGTTCTTCTGGGTGATTCATATCTGGATTTACCTAAGTCTACCTTCTGACCCCAGGGACACGGGTGGCGTTGTGGGTTAAACCACAGGGCATAGGACTTGCTGATCAGAAGGTTGGTGGTTCGAATCCCCGGGGTGAGCTCCCGTTGCTCGGTCCCTGCTCCTGCCAACCTAGCAGTTCGAAAGCAAAGTGCAAGTAGATAAATAGGTACCGCTCCAGCGGGAAGGTAAACGGCGTTTCCGTGCACTGCCCTGGTTCACCAGAATGACCCGGAAGCTGTACGCCGGCTCCCTCAGCCAATAAAGCGAGATGAGCGCCGCAACCCCAGAGTCGGTCATGACTGGACCTAATGGTCAGGGGTCCCTTTACCTTTACCTTACCTTCTGACCCAGTTTTGGAACTGAGGGTTTATCTGCACTTGCTCTTTCCAGGCACAGTCCATGCTTTAAAGCTCAGTTTTCAAGTCCCCCAACTATTATTATTATTATTATTATTATTATTATTATTATTATTATTATTTTCCTCTTGAGCTTTGCTCATGAAAACCCACTCTTTAAAGTTCAATCAGGGCCAATGGCATTCTGCAGAAAGCCCAAGCTGACATGTGCTCCAGGGCAAAATGAAACACACTTGGACATGGTACATACTTGTGTCTGGAAAGAGCAGGACAAAAGAAAAGTTTGGATCAGCCCTGAGACAGCCTTGGTTGCACTTGTGGGTAACCTACACCCAGTGCTGGATTTACATATAAACCAAACAAGCTATAGCTTAGGGCCCCACTCTCTTGGGTCCCCCCAAAAAATTAAAGAAAAAACAACTGGAAGTACATTCCCAAAATATAAGATAAAAAACAAATAAAATAAAACCTACATACAGCAACAGTGTTCTGTGTTGTGTAGGCTCCTATTTCTTATGTGCAAATGGCTTTAGATACCTATTAGGTCCATAAATTACCATGCAGCATATATTCAACAGAAAAAACAGAAACAATTTGCTGTTGACAAAGGACAGCTGGACATATAAAGGGCCCCATTACCTTCAGTAGCTTAGGGCCTCATCAAACCTAAATACGGCCCTGCCTACACCAGGGGCTGCACAAAGGGAGTGCACTTTTCCTGGTTCTTCTGTCCACTCAACAACTTTTCAAATTGTTGATTATGATAGCCTTCTGGACTGCTGCTCTCAGTCCCAACTGAGTAGGGTTGCCATACATCTTGGAAATCCTGGACATGTCCTAAGTTTGTCTGGATTTTTACCTCTTGAAATATGGTAACCCTACGACTGAGGGACACTGCCTTATGATGGTGCAGTCTTTAATAAATATATAAAATAAATAAATAGCAGGCATGGCGGGGGGAGAGGCTAATCTGGGTTGGAACTACAGTAGGAGTCGAAAGGTTAAATTCCCCTTACCCTACTAGACCCAGCTCCCAATCCAGATTACTTCCCTCCGTCCACCATGATGGCAATTTGGGAAAGAAAAATCTGGGACTCAAGAACTAAGAATGTGATTAATGCAGCATATAGTTTGGCCCTGAGATCTGAAGAAGGAGAGCAGAGTACAAGCGTAATTCATTGACCTATTTCTGTCTAGGGTGCCATTCCCCAGCCTGGTAGGTCTGTGTGGTGTTTGCCGTTCGTTTAGAAAATGTTTGAACAGGGGGGAGAGATAGGGTTAAAAATATAGACCAATAGGAAAGTTGGAGGTGGAGCTTACCTGTGTATAAAAGGGCTTAGCCCGAGGTTTGAGTTGTTGTTGGGAGCTGCTGGTGGGTAGTTGGTTGGTTTTAGTGGGTTGGCTGGTTGGGAAAGGCAGTTGAAGAAGCAGTTGGTAGGCAGTTGGTAATAGAGAGAGAATTAGGGCAGTGGGTTCTTGAGTGAGGGGAGGTAGAAGAGATAGAGAGAGGAAAGTAAGACTAAGAAAGTAAAGAGCAACAACGTTTGGAATGCCGTAAAAGTTTGTTTGTGTCTGAAATAAAATACCGTATTTTTCGCTCCATAAGGTGCACCAGACCACAAGACGCACCTAGTTTTTGGAGGAGGAAAACAAGAAAAAATATATTCTGAATCTCAGAAGCCAGAACAGCAAGAGGGATCGCTGCGCAGTGAAAGCAGCAATCCCTCTTGCTGTTCTGGCTTCTGTGATAGCTGCACAGCCTGCACTCGCTCCATAAGACGCACACACATTTCCCCTTACTTTTTAGGAGGGGAAAAGTGAGTCTTACAGAGCAAAAAATACGGTACACTCTTCTTTATTAATTGAGAACCTGACTGAGGCTGAAGTGATTTTACCGGGGAGGACCTGGTTGGTGGCAGCGGAATAGTGGTGTACGGGTCAATAGTCTGTGAGACGACCGGGGGCTCCGTACGAACGCCACAGTCTGCTAGATGTTTTGGACCACAACTCCCATCAGCCGCTCTCCCCAACATCAGGAGTGCAGCGTCACACCAAGTTGTGAGAGTCTGATTTCAAAGTCTAGACATAGTGTGATGAGAGACTTGCCCAATGGAAGGAAGTCTGTTGTTGGGGGCAAACAGAGAAAATGACATGGAGAAACTGATGAACCAGTGGCCCAAGGTGGAGTCAGGTGTGCAAAGCAACTCCACACAAAACAGGTTTACAGTTGCAAGCAGAAACAGAGAGCACTCGCCGAGGGTTGCCTCATGAGAGAAAAATGCAATAACATTTACACCTGCCTGTGTCGGGCAAAGGGAGAAAAGGGTTAATTCCCTCATCGTGAGGTCACCACCAGCTCCGTATCTTCAGCGGCAGGGAGAAGGGAGTCAAGAAAACACAGAAACACAGAATGACTCATTCTAGTCTAAAAATAGACACTATGATGAGAGCAAAGGTGCTGAAATGTGAACAGGAGACAGCGCATTTTGAATTAGTTTGCACTTTCTCAGCTTTGCCTCAAAGAAGGCTTCCTTTCTCTGGAGCTTAAAGCTGTTTAAAATAATAATAATAATTTAAAAATCAGGGTACAGTGGTACCTCGGGTTAAGAACTTAATTCGTTCCAGAGGTCCGTTCTTAACCTGAAACTGTTCTTAACCTGAAGCACCACTTTAGCTAATGGGGTCTCCCTTTGCCGCTGCTGCACGATTTCTGTTCTCATCCCGAAGCAAAGTTCTTAACCCGAGGTACTGTTTCTGGGTTAGCGGAGTCTGTAACCTGAAGCATCTGTAACCCGCGGTACCACTGTACATGGGAACTCAAGAAGCAGAACATATCAGTTCTTTGTCCTTCTAGCCCACTCTGGCTGGCAGCAGCTCTCTTGCCTCTCAGGCAGAGCTCTTTCCCATCCTCACCTGCTGCTTGATCGCTGGGAGATGCCAGGTCGTAAACTGGAACCTTCTACATGCCAAGCATCTGCTCCACCGCTGAGCTATGGCACATGCCAGGCCACTTATTTGGAAGGATCTGTCAATTTCATTTCTCAGTTTCGCAATCTGAAATTCATTTCTCCACGTTTTGCAGCAATCTGCTTTAGTAATAATAATAATAATAATAATAATAATAATAAATAAATAAATTTCAATTTCCCCTAATAAAGATATTTTTTTGTATGCAATTTTGACTAACGTATACAGATTTTTGCAAGTCATTTCCCCAGTATAATGCATATGTGTGCAATTTTTGTTAGCATCTTCGTTTTAATGCAGCGTTTCCCTACTATTTGTGCCATTTAAAAATGCATCGGTCGGTTAGTACTAAAATTGCAAAATTCCATGAAGGGAACTTTTCTCAGCCTGAGGTCCAGATTTCTTTCAGGGCAAAATTCTTGCCACCATATGCAACAGGTGGGTGGGGCCACAGATGTATGTCACAACATACCCTCCAAGTGTACCGATTTTTCAGGGACAGTCTCAGAAGTAGAGAAGCCATCCTGGCTTCTGATGTGATCCCGAAAAGTCCCTATTTCCCCCGCCGGTGCTGTTACTGCTGAGTTCCGCAAGGAGGATGTGCCTGTATTTGTCCTGAGCGGTGGCTGTGAGGATGTATCCCGTGACCTCTCCATGTTAGGATATAGTTCCATCCCACCTTTAGAACAGATGTGTGGAGTTGTTGTATGTCACATGCCTGTTTACTTCCAGCACAGTCTGCTGGGCACTTCCGTTGTATATTGCTTTTGCTATGCTGCTGTTTGCAAGGACACAAAGGGAAGCAGACATGTTTTTCCTTTGTTCCTGATGCTGAATAAATGCCTGCAAATATGCTTACATATGCCTCTGTCCACCACTTCCGTTGTGAAAAGTTATTCAGTCTGCTGATTAGAGTGTGCTCGGCTTCTGAAGGCTTCTGAGGCTCGAGTCGCTGATTGATGCTGTTCCAAGAACCGGAGTTCGCCCGGCTGCCGGCCAGTGGCTGGAGCCAGCTGGGGGCCTGCCAAATGCCCGTCTCCACGGACGCATCCCAATACTCCATAGCTGTTGCTGCCCGTCCCCTCCCTTGGACAGCTTGTAGTTATTGCCCCTTTCTAAAATTTATTTATTGGTGTGTGTTTCTCTTTGTGTAAATCTAGAATAGAATAGAATAGAATAGAATAGAATAGAATAGAATAGAATAGAATAGAATAGAATAGAATAGAATAGTGTGTGTGCATTGGTTTGGTGGCACTCACCCTTCTTCGGATAGGAAATGTTCTGTAGGAGGAAGGACCAGAAATGGGAGTCAAGATGAGACACGGATAAGGGAGGAGTGGGAATACTTTGGAAAGTATCTAAAGAGGTACAACAGTCAAATAGACTTATAAGTGGGGATTAACCTATGTGCCGTAGTAAACAACAACTAGAACTTTATGGAGAATTTAATTGGGTTGAACAAAAGGATATGCGGCTTAACAAAGTTCAGCTAGGATGTCGAGGAGGGATGGATGGTGAAGTCTTAAGATGTGATATGAGATGATTAGAAAAGGACTGTAAGATGTATATAATAAATTTTGGAAAATGCATCAATTAAAAAAAAGGGGGGTCAAGGACGGACAGTTGGAGGGGAGTGAGAAATGTCCCTATTTTTATCTGAGGGATGTTGGAGAATATGCTATAAATGTCACTCTAGTTTCTCCACACACAGAGACACATTCACACACCCCTCTTTGTCCATCAGCCAGGCAAAAAAACCCAACACGACCAAAGTCCAAGGCGGAAGTGCTCCAGGAGGGTGCTAAACAGTGCTGTGGCTAGTAAGGGTGTGTGGCCTAAGGAGACTCCCATGGGTCAGAGGGAGAGACTTGGGGGCCTGAAGTTCCCCAGCCTAGTTCTAGTCTCTACTAAGGGGTGTATTTGATCAGCTACAGCCTCATATTTGCATTCCACAGCTAGCTTTGCAATAATGGCTTGAAACACATTCCTTTATCAGCTCGGAACATGAATCTAGCTTTAAAAAATTTGCTAGGGAAATCGAGTTTCGGAAGCCATAAAGGAGGTGGCACCGCTTTGCTACTCATTGCCCATTGTTGAGCATGGAAATTATTTCCACAAACAGAAAAAAAACAACGATTACCGTAACTATCATGCACAGTATCACAAGGAAACACGTGGTCAAGGGATGGGATGCTGGCACCCACCACAAACAATAGGTGCGTACACAACGTGCGGCCCCACCCCTTAACTTAAGCAGTATTAAGTTGTCGCTTTTTTCATGGACTGTACTAACAGGCTACAGGTGGGGAATCACATGTTAAATGCTCACCCCTCTGCACCTAGAAATATAGCGTGCCAGGGAGAGGATTTCAGCGTATCCTTCCTGATATGCTGTTTTTCTACATGTGGGGAATTTAATTTGTGGGAGAGCATTCTAACATGTAGCCTCCCACCTGTAGATTGAAGTGGCATGGCTCAGGGGAAAATGTGCTTTACTTCCTGATTCTGAGTTCTAGCCTAGAATTCTGCTAATTCATTGTGGTCTAAAAGAGGAAGTTTAGTGCATGGAAGAAGTGTGGAAAGAGGCTGAACTGTTTTGTCAGGTGATGGCAAAAAGGCTTCGGGGCTCCGCCGCAAATGCGTTTTCACTAACTGAATGACTCATAGCCGAGTGCAAACTAACTCCACAGAAACGCATTGTGTGAGAGAGTTGTCCAGGATCAAACTTAGGTGTACATTTAAAGCACTATAACACCACTTTAAACAGCTATGGTTTTCCCCAAAGAAGTCTGGGAAATGTAGTTTGTTAAGGGTGCTGAGAGTAGTTAGGAGATTCTTGTTCTCCTCATGGAGTTACAATTCCCATAGGAAGAAGGGTTGATTGTGAAACCACTCTATAAAGTGTAGCTCTGTGAGTAGAATGGAGTCTCCTAGCAACACACAGCAGCCTTAGCAAACTACAGTTCCCAAGATTCTTTGGGGGAAGCCATGACTGTTTAAAGTGGCATGATGCTGTTATAAATGTGAGGTGCAGGTGTGGACATATGCACGGCACCAATTACACTGTTACCAACTAATCAATATTAATATTCAGAATTCAAATTCAATTATGTTATAAGCATATATGCATACAAGCATAAAGTCTTAAAAGAGAACTTCAAAATGGTACCATTAATATTGAAAGATAAGCAAAAGAAGATATGAAAACTAACTCATTTAACAGCCACTGCCTCACTTTGTACAAACTTATTCCCACATCGGAGTCTCAGACCAGAGGTACGTCCCATCTCTGTCAATGCTTTGAAGGAAAATGCAACAACCACAATTCAGTGCTTCTTATTGGGCTGCCTTTACATCATGACAGGGGGGGCATTCGTCCAGTCCACAAGTCCGCCTTCACGTTCCCAGCATCCACACATTCAGAGGGATG